TACCCAAAGCAATCAAAACATTCCTTTTTAAGACCAAGGAACTTTCTCTTGGTATGATCTACTTTAAAATACCAAAAAGATCAGTTTAGGAATAAACTCAGTAAGTTGTAATTTACTTTCATCCAAAATCACACATCCTCTACCTGAGGACAAAGTCACTGCTCTTGTAAAGATACTGGGGGTGGGGGTGGGGGTGGAGGGTTGCTCAAATGACCCTGTAATTTAAAGTTACAACCAGAGAAGAAATACTTCAAGCACAATGGAGACATTCCATTGAAGAGCCACATTCATTTTGGAATGTTTGCTTTGAAAACAACTCTTCTGGGGAATTCAAAAGGTAATGAACAAAGCAACACAGAGTAAATCTTGGGTTGTTTTGCAAAATAAAAATATACATTTGAGTAGACCAGATGGCAAAAACATACCCATTATAATCTGAACACTATATTTAAAACACTTAAATTCTGAAGGTCAGTATATTAACAATCTTTAATCTATCTATATTTGTGATCCTAAAAAGACATTAAATACTCTTAAATCCCCAGTCCTCCAAAACACAGAGAGACCCAACAGGCGGGGCTAGTGGTCTATCAGTAGTCACACAGGACTAGACTAGATCTGAGTTTGCAACCTACACACAAGAGATCTTCAGGAACTCAGGCTAAAGGGAAGCACTTTATTCAAACGTGTGGCCTAAGAGAAGGGGGGAGAGTACCTTGTAATCTGAAACTATGTGGTCCATCTCTTGTTCCATCTCACAATCTAGACTATGATGCCTCCTCTTAAACTGCCACTTCATAACAAAACATACTGTTTAGAAGCCAAAAATTTGCTTCATTAGAGCTAAGAACAATTATAATTTAGCAGCAACAGAGAACACAACTCCTGATTTAACGATGGGAAAGAAAAAAGAGAGTGATAAAGTGTCTCAGTGGGGAAAGTGAAAGATTCCTAGTCTGCACGTAGAATATGATGAGCTTGATTCCTCAACCATCACTGTGTTTGGTAGTCAGGAAGAAAGTAAATGTAGCTATGATGGGAACTGGAAACCCTGGCCTTGTGCACCTCCTGCCCGGCCTGCCAGCCGCCGAGCCGTGCACAACGCCGGCTCAGTGCTTCGCTCCAGAGCGGAGGCGCCGTCAGGGCTGAACCAGAGGCACACCCACAGTGTGTTTCTTCCTGGCTCAGAACACATTCATACGGAAACTCATGTCAGGGAAGAAACTAAGTGTTCTGGTTATACCTACAGCCATTAGATCTACTAGCAATTTCTCCCTCGTTTTGTTCCAGATCTCTTGAGGCAGAAACTCGATCTCAGCAGCTAATTTCATCCTATTTTCTTTAGAAAAATTCTCCAAGTTAGTTGACTACACAAGGCAATGTGTGTGAACATTCACTCCTACCCTCCCCACATACATATACAGACATACGATACAAACACATACATACATACAAACATACATACATACATACATACAACACTCTAGGTTGTCAAGATGATGTACGCTGCAGAAATGCCTAAAAGGTTACTTCCTGCTTAAAAATAAAATTTGACTAATTATTTTCCAAGTATGGACTAGGCCCTAGCAAACTTTTATAAATATAGTTTGAGAAGACAGCAACAAAAGTTTTAAATAGAGGCTGTCTTGAGGGCTTTCCTAATGGATTTTGTTAACACGTACATTATTTAAAACAGGCATATCATTATGGATTATAAAAATAGAAATGTATATATTTGTTAATACATATTCACAGCTTATGCTGGAATGGCTCACAGGAGAAATCATGGTTCATGCAGAAAATAAACATTACTCAAGTAAATATAAACAAATAAAATTAGGTCCATTAAGGCTGAGAACTTGGTTATCAGCCCATTTGGTTTCTCTTTGTAGGGCAATCAAAAACATAGGTGACACCTAAACACACATACACATACAATGACATGAAATACATGGAAAGAATATAAATTAACCAATAAAGCAATGTGGAGTTAAGGTGCAAAAATACAATCTTCACCCACTTCTCTCTACTCCTGTGTTTTCAAGCATTGCAACATGTTCGATGCCATGGGTGGCAAGGCCAACCAGAACAGATCTGAATGTTTATAAATTCTCTAAGTGTTGAAAGTTAAAGCAAAATCCTTTGGGATTTTGGTAGAAATTGCAGATTTACAGAGATGACTACTGAGCAGTAGGTTGTAAATGGAGCCAAGAAGTACAATCTTGCCCTTTCATCCTCCATAGGAATCAGAATATTGACTTCAATCAGTGACTCGTCATTTTATATAATCTTCACCAGGAATTGCTATTAGCATCTGTCTTCCCAGCTTTTGTGTACCTGCTTCAGTTCTGCTGAGATTTGCTCTGCTCTTCTCCAGTGAGTAGGGCCTTGATTTCAGAAGGGATTTTTCCTTGGTCCATTGCCATGCACCACTGCTTGTATGTACATTTCCAGTTCCTCTCTGAGGGCACATATGGCTCTTTCCCGACTGGATACCAACTCTTCCAAATACTGATATCTTAGTTTTTTCCTAGCTCGGCATTCTCTTGCACTCTGCTGGCTCCTCTCAAGTTTTGCCTTCAAGTCAACTTTGGCTGGCTTCCGACCACATTTGCCAGGTTTCTTTACTTTGCCTCCAACCACCTCACTGTCATCCATCTCGGCGGACAGGCCGGCCTGGCCAGGCGCTCCCTCCCCCTGCCCTCCCCCGGCTCAGCCGGCCTGGCCCGGCCCGGCCCCCGCCCTGGGGGAAGAAGGCGATATGGTTCTGACTGTCTCCTCCTCTCGCCTAACAGTTCGCTTCCCTGATGCCACAGTCACGGGGACGAGGGACCAGTTCAGGAATGACAGAGCGGACCCTGGAGGCGGCCCAAAACGCCTCCTTTCGCCGCCGCCGCCTCCTCCTCCCCCTCCATGACAGTCTCGGGGTGTGTTTACAGATGCCCTGGAGAGCAGCCCGGACGGGAGGGTGGGCCATTACAGTTTTTCTTATTCATTTTACTGTTTAAAGTATAAAGAGACTTTTTCTCTGGACATGATGAATACCTTCTGCTAGTTTACAGATGGGCTAGTGTCTGTATGTGTCCTGTAATGTTTGTTTATTCATTCATTTAATCAATTATGTGTGAGTTATGTATGGTACAGTAAATTAGATATTATTTGTCATCAGTTTTTATTCTATCTTATCCTTCAAGTAAACTGTATATCATAATTTTGAAGTTTCAGAATCATTTAAGTGCCTGTTTTTATTCAGCCAACAGAGCTTTGAGATGTGAATATTTATTCATACTACAAATAATACTACCAGTATTTTATTATATTATATGCAAGGTATTTAGGAGAATACCAAGATGGATAAGATGAAAAGTTTACAATCTGGTATGGAACTTAAGGCACAAACATAAATTGCCATGAGAAAAGGCAACATGTGTTCTGGCATGGTACAAAGTGCCATAGGAGTTTAAAAATGGCAGATATAAATTTGCATAGGAGTGATGATAGAAAGCTAGAGAAAGGGGATAGTATTTGATTTGAGGATCAACAGGTGGGCAGTATTTCCTGCAGGGAGATGTGACAGTAATGACATTCTAAGCAAAATATGAAGGCAGGTGAGTACACGGTAGGACTAGAAGCAGGGATGCATTAGGCCTGACTGTAGAGGACACTGACCAGCAGAGTAAGGCTGTGCTTGATTTAGTAGGCGGAAGGGAGCCATTGATAGCCTTTGAGCAAAGGAGAGACAGTATGAAGTGCTTTAGGAAGATTAATCTGGCTAGAGAATATGTAGAATGGATTGTTTTCATCAGATAAAAGAAATGAGGCCTGGAAAGGGTGTTCAAAGAAGGAAAAAAGAAAAAGATGAGAGTGAAACATTTCAGAGGAAAAATAGACAGATCTAAAAGCTATTTAGATGAAAATAGGAATGAAGGAGAGAGACATAAAAATTACGAATAAACACATATGCCTCACACACAATGCCTCAAGGGCTTACAAAAAGCATCTCATTGCTAATGATCTTCATTTAGATCTCTGTTTAGAATGAAAAATTGTTTTGCAGTTATGACACAGAGGAAAAGAAATTTAAGGGGCAACCACATCTTTCAAAACACCAGTAGTCAGGAGAGCTATACAACTTTGACATTTAGTTTCAAAACTTTGTCTAGGACAGCATGGAAAAGGAAGGAAAATTATACTTTGTTGAATTTTAAACAAAGTATATATAAACTACACCTCAATAAAGCAAAGTGTACATAGATTATGCCTCAGTCAACTTTATTCTAAAAATCTAAGCAAAAGAAATAAATCATAAAAGCGGCATGACTGTATCTGGGCAGGTGGGAGAGGATGCTGGGGAAAGCCAGTGCCCTTTGAAGTAAGCTGAATATCAATTTTAATTGGCTCCATGCCATTTGCCGAAGAACCTACAGGCCCTGTCCACAGCGTTCACAGTCAGTCTGATAGACCAGAAGCCAGGGTTTGGGAAGACTGAGGCTCATTGCATCCTCTATTCACTGAACATTTGACATCATAGGAACAGAATTTGAAAGATGCTTGTGAGGCACTTTGGGATACAAGCTGCAGAGATGGTTGTATTGATCACTCACTTTCCTTTTATAGAAATATATTAAAATCATGTCCTACATTCTTCACCCCACAGTTCACTTCCAGCACCTTCTTATATTCTTCTAGCTCAGTTGTGGTAATCTTTAGGTAAAAAGAAATACAGGCCTTCATTATCCTTCTTTCAGCCCTCCAATATTCCAGAGAGTGTAGAGAAACTATTATCACTCTAATTTTATATTTTAAGTGCTACAACAGTCAATCCAAAAATCTCTGAAAAGCTGAGAGGTTTAGTGTTTACCTTTTTTCCCCAGCCTTTCAGCTGGATTCTTTGAAGAGCCTCCAAAAAATATCTCTGATCTGAAACCAAACCCAGATGGATATTTTTCCTGGCCTGTTTTCATCTGGTTAGCCACCTGTTTCTCTCTGTGGTAATACAGGAAGGGGATATGAGAAAATGGAAGATGTTGGCTCAGAGCCCTAGAGGTCTGGTGAAGGTGGCTTTTAAAATAATCATTCTTTAGTCACTGCCAGGCTCCAATGCCACCTTCATTGACTGGAAATGCAAAGTATGGCAGCAGTGTTTATAAAAAAATAAATGGGGTGCCTGGGTGGCTCAGTCGTTAAGCGTCTGCCTTCGGCTTAGGTCATGATCCGGGGGTCCTGTGATTGAGCCCCACATCAGGCTCCCTGCTCCACGGAAGCCTGCTTCTCCCTCTCCCACTCCCCCTGCTTGTGTTCCCTCTCTCTCTGTTGAAAAATAAATAAAATCTTTTAAAAAATAAATAAATAAATAAATAAATAAATAAATAAATAAATAAATAAATAAATATCAGAGTGCATACTAGAATTTCAGAGGTGGAAGTCACTGCAGAAGCCATTTAATTTAATGCCACAGTTCATAATCTAGACAACTGAAGTCCAGAGAAATTCAATTAGATTCTAAAATCAATATATTTACAATAAATAGGTAAAGAAACATTCGGTACACAACAAGACCCCAAAAGAAAGATAGGTTTGAGCAAATCAAACTCTTAGAATTGCAAAATATAGTTATTGAAGGAATAAATTAATGGACTGGTTAAAAGCAGAATAGACACATTTGAAAAGAGAATTAGGAAACTAGAAGGTGAAGCTGAGAAAATTGCCATAATGCAGCAGAGTAGAGGAAATGAAAAATACAAAGAGGAGTTAAGGGAAATGAATGATAGAATGAAAAGTTTCAATATATTAATGGGAATTCTAGATGGAGAAAAATTAAGGAAATAAATAATAAGTAAACATTTTCCAGAACTGGTCAAAGACAAGAATCCTCAGATTAAAGAATCAAAATGAACCCGAAGCAAGGAATATGAAATCACACCTTCACTTAGACACATTGTAACAAAACCCAGAAAATTGGGGGAAATATTAAAAGCAACCCAAAAAAAGAAAAACATTTTAGACTGGCCACAAATTTCTCAATTATAACAACAAAGGCTAAAAAACAATGGAATAATATTTTCAATTCCCAAGGACAATAACTGACAGCCTAGAATCCTATACCCTGCTAAACAATTATTAAAGAGTTAGGACAAAATAAAGACTTTCAGAATAACACTTGAGACCTTTATTGAGCAGACTCTATATTTGTGTTTTAGGGCTGCCATAACAAAATATCACAGACTAGATGGCTGAAACAGTAGAAACTTATTTCTCCCAGTTCTGGAGGCTGAAGTCCCAGATAGAGGTCTAGCAGGGTTCGGTTTCTGGTGAGAGCTCTCTTTCTGGCTTTCAGATGTCCACCTTCTTGCTGAGTCCTCACATGACCTTTCCTATAAGCCTATTCAGAGAGAGAGAGTAAGAGATTGAGAGAGAGAGGGAAAGAAGGGTCTCTCTTCCTCTTCTGTTCTAAACAAAAGATTCACAACAGCCATATTTTGGTTTGAAAAAGGAAAGAAAACATTATTATAGAAACCTAGTAGAAACAGAAGAAGAAAGGAATCTACGCATAGATAAAGGTAATATCCAGCAAGAAATGAGAATAAGGCAAAATTACATCAAATCGGGTACCTACAACATCCAACCTCATTAGCTGGGGCAGCCCCATGGAAACAGCCAGGCTGGAGTCCTGATTGAGAGGCCTGGGCAGAACATCCTCCCCTCAGGTGAGACTTCCAACTGATCATCCCCATAAGGCCATATTTATATGGCAAATAACAGGGTTTGAAATTAAACCATTTGTTCCTACGTGCAGTTTGGAGCAAGCTGTATTTTCTATGTTATCATGTTTCTATATTTTCAAGGAACCTGGGCTATGTGTATCTGCCTCCCCTCCTGGATTCCATTCCAGGGGCCCAACCCAGCCTGGAGCAGGAGGGGATGGGAGACAAGATTTGTAGCTCTCGGCATCCAGAACAGAAGGGCCAGTTCTGACCTGGAGGCCAGATCATATATTTCAAACAACTAAGCTCCCAAGGTTATTCACACAGCACAAGTCTCACAAACTACATTCCTTAGCCTGCCTGTGTATATGCAGGTCCAGGTGGTCAGTTATGCGGGACAAATCACAAAAACATCTATCCCTACAGAACATCTTCTAATAAGGCCATCAGTCCTATTGGATTAGAGCCCCACCATTATAACTTCATTTAACCTTAATTATCTCCTAAAGACCTTATCCCCACATACAATCACACTGGGGGTTGGGCTTCAGCATATCAATTGTGGGGAGGACACAATTCAGTCCATAGCGGACTCCTATAGGATAATTTCAGAAGGAAGGAAATTAAATACAAAAGTAAGGAAAAAAACAAAGGTGAGTAAAGAAATTGGTAAACACAAAGGTAAATCTAAAGAAATACTGACTCTAAAAATCATTACTACTAATAACAATTAATTTGGAGAGGGTTAAAAGTAGATATAAATAACTAGCATTGTCCAATACTACTTTCTATAATGATGGGAATGTTCTATATCTGCTCTGTCCAATATGGTAGCCATTAGCCACATGTGGCTATGAAGCACTTAAAATGTGGCTATGCAACCAAGAAAAAATTTAATTATATTTAATATTAATTTCAACTTAAGTACCTACATGTGGGTAATGGCTACCATGTTAGACAGCACAGCATTACATAATAGTAACATGGTAAGTGGCTAGAGCAGATCAAAGTTAAATAGTCTAAGGTCTTTGTTTGGAAAGAGAAGGGACATTTTGGAGGCAGTTATATTAAAGATTTAAGGATAGAAGCTAGAAAAATTGAAATAGAATGTATCATTTCCAAAGTAGTAGAAGGAAAGAAGAATAAAGAAAACACTGTTGATACACAGAAGGTAGGAAAAAGAGATGGAAAAAAGAAATCAAAGAAAAGCATGATAAATAGAAAGCATAACAAATACGATAGAAATAAATAAGAAATATACCAGTTTCTTCTTACAATGAGAGTACAGAATTTTAATGGAACCTCATATACCAAGGGCATATTGAGTAAAAAAAAATCAGGTAGCAAAAGATATGTACAGTATTAAACCTTTTATGTAAAGTTTCAAAACATATAAACTATTAGTATTTATTTTTATTAACACAAAAATATGTCAAGTATAACAATATGCATGGGAATGAATGACACAACCCAACTTCAGGAGAGTGATTTCTTCAGGAGGAGGGGCAAAGGAAAGGGAGTGGATCTTTAGTTGAATCTAAATATTTTTAAGAAAAGATCTGAAGCAAATATGATAGTGTCAACCTATAAAATGTGGGTGGTGAGTACCTGGGTTTCAGACTATATTGTTTGAAACTGATAATAGTTTTAAACTCTTATTTTTTCATAAATAAAAACTCAAGTTCAAAAGAAACACATCCATCCAGATACTTTCCTCTTTTCTCTGTATTGGATTGTTTCTCTCTGACTGGTTTAGATCTTAGGACTCGAACTTGATTTTTGTCACTTAGGAAACTTCATCCACAAAATAATAATCTAACATAATGAGCCCTCCTCACACCAGAGGACTAAGGAGCTAGATAACCCAATTCCACTGGAAAGTTCTGTTTACTTAGGACAGGGGTCAGCAACTTACTAACGTTGTTTCTCTTAGTGGGATGAGTGAGTACTCTTGGGAGCTATTGGATGCTGTGGGGAAGGAAGAAAGAAGAGAGAGAAGAAAAGGAAAAGAATGGGGGAGGGAGTGGGGAAGGAGAAAGAGTTATGGTAGAGGGCTACTGATCCACTTTGCTCACATGGGAGCCACCCCCCACATATCCCTATAGAAGAAAGCAGGATGGGGGCACCTGGGTGGCTCAGTCAGGTTAAGTGTCTGACTTTGGTTCAGGTCATGATCTCAGGGTCCTACAGTCAAGTCCCAGGTTGAGCTCCCTGCTCAGGGGGGAGTCTGCTTCTCCCTCTCTCCACTCATGTCTCTCTCTGTCTCTCTCAAATAAATAAATAAAATCTTAAAAATAAAAATAAAAAGAAAGAAAGTAGGATGGAATGATCTCACCTCATTGCTTTGGCATTTTTCTATTAGCGCTCCTTTCATTGTATTGCAGTTACTGTTTACATAGCTATCTCCCCCACTGGACCATGTCTTATTCCACTTCTTACTTTGAGTGCTTAGCACATGTCTGACAGAGTAGGTCTTACTGAATGACTTAACGGTGAATACACAACTTCAGATCTTAAGTGATTTCCTGTCTTCTTGTTTAAGCCTTCCAAGCCATTCTCTTTTGCCTTACCGCCTTCCTGGGTCCTCTTTCAGACTCTCAGAATTTAAAACCTTTAAACCTCTGTCCAGCTCTAAGCTGGGACACTCAAAACAACTTCTAGGTGGCCCACAGAGTGCTTTCTCAGGAAGACAAGGGAGATAGACTGGGAGCAATGTCTGGAAATGGAGATGTTCTGGGGGTGTCCCAGGAGTGCCACAGAGTCCTGAACCTGACTTTTTTCCTTTGTGGGAACCGTGACAGGGAGCCACAGTCAAGAGGATAAAGGAGAGGGATGTGGCAGTTCCTGACACCTAGTGTTCATGTCCTTCCTCCCCTGTGTCCCAGGCGGAAGTGTGGGTCCCCCAACCACCTTCTCACTCCCAACCCTGGCTTCCCAAAGGCAGCCCTGGTCTTCATGATAACAGTCTCTCTTTTCAAGACAAATCAGCTGTTCCTTACAGCTATGGGTGGTACTATCTTAACAGAGACAGCAGTCTGGCCGGCAAGATATTTCTGTCATCTGTGCTGTGGGAATAGGTCTGTTCTGCTTGGTTGCCATCGAAGGGCTTTTCCTACAAAGATGTTTGTGCAAACAGTCTATTGGAGGGTAACTGGCCCTGCCTCAGGCCTGCTTGCTTATTGGCCAGCCAGGGTCTTTCAGCAGCGAGCCGTTCAGAAGCCAGGGTGAAGCAGAGGCCAATAAGAAGGCTGAATGTAGCTCAGATAATTGCACACTGCAGTGAGACAGACAGTGGGCAGTGCAACCCTGGCTTATTTAGAGGAAGCCTACTGTTTGCCTCAAGAGGGCCCAAGACAGTAGTTACATACTTACCTTTCCCCTTCAACAGATTGGGGTGCCTGTGGCTGGCCAAGGAAACTCCTCACCTCACATCCAGTTTTGCTGGGTCCTGGGCAGGTCTGGCGTCTCTGGTTCATCTGGGTGAGTGAACGCTCTCTGTAGGTTCTTTCCCTCTCTGCCATAGGCTCTAACCTGAGCAAAGCAGGGCAGAGTACAAGGGCCTACAACATTAGCAAGCTCTCCTGTCTTGAAACCTCCCCAGTATCATCTGTTGTACTGGGCACATCCCTGATAATCTCCCTGGAGATTATCAGCTAAAGGAACACAAAAAGCAGCAGCCGTAGCAAATTCTACAGCAGTGGGGGCTTCTCTGGGAGTTCTTTCCTCGATAACATTGTCCCTTACCTATTGCCATTCCAGCATATCTGCAAGAGAGGTAGAAACAGAGTACAGGGCCTTTCATGTTAGCTGGCCTCGGTGTGGTCCACCCTGACTATCCCATCATCCACTGGGTGTTGTAAAGAAAGGAAAGGGATTCATTCCAGCCTACTTCCCCCATGACATGAGACTGGGTGGAGAAGGAAGTCATAAATGATAAAAGTTGGGATCCCCTCAAAGGAGCACCTAAAAATTTAAGAAAGCATGGTGTCACTAGAGGTGATGGGGTCAGCATGTTAAGGCTGTAAGGGATGGCTGGAGACTGTCTTCAACCCTAGCATTTTACAGATGAGGACACCTAGCCGGAGGAAAGTAATTTGCAGAAGGTGCCGCTGCCAGTCAATGTTAAGGCTGACAGTAGAACTCAAGCCCAGTGATCCCTCCACCGGCTTTTAACTGGCTCTTGCCTTAAATGTAGTTGATAATTGGTCATCATGGTCATCTTTTACAGTCTTAAAGCTGGGGCCTGGAAAGAATGGGATGAAGAGAGCAGCTGTAATTTCTTTCTCCAGCAGAATTCCAGAGGAGTCCAGAGTCTCCAGACAGAAACCAGCCTCCCAGAAAGACTCCCGTCAGCAGCCCCAAATATTCCAGGGGTGTCCACAGTATACCCTGGAGCAGAGGTGGGCCAAACACAGAAGCTCCAGCACAGCCAGGACCCTCGGGCGCCATCAGACTGCTGTTGCCACCGTTGTAGCCGAAATGACGGGGCACAGGTGCCTGGTCAGAGAACTGGCCTAGGAGCCAGCTGCTCAGCTAGAACAGCACAATACCCACAGGGCAGCCCTGGTCCAGCTGGCCAGAGGAGTCACACTAGCACACCTAGTCCATAAGAGAGTAGCCCTCCTAAGGTCCTCTCTAGGCCACTTGCGCCAGGAAGGAGACCACAGACCACAGCTTCTGCCATACCCAGGTACTCAGGACTTTGGGAAGATTTCTCCACTGGGACTTGGATTCTTGCTTCTTTTTCCTCCTTTTTCTTTTAGAAGAAATTTAAAAATTAAGTGGAGGAAAGGAGTAGATAAAAAGATGAATAAGAAGCAAAGAAACTTGGGATTTTAATAAAAAGATCTTGATTTGAAAGCAGGTAGTGTTTTAGGTTTTCTCCTTATGTTTCATTCTGTCTCAGCCCCATAGCAAAGGGTGGACAAGCCTCTAGATCAGGGCTTCTAATAATTATAATCAGGCCTCAGCCAGGAGAGGCCATGGTGGTGAGGCTTAGGTCTGTTTTCTTGTTAACCCCACGTCCCTTTTGTTATCATTCATACATTCAAGAGACGTTTGAAGGTCTACTTTATGCCTAGGCATTATCTTAAATACAGGGTATGGTATTCATTAGTGATAAAAATGTACATCATCTTGGGAAAACAGTATGGCAGTTTTAAAAAATTAAGACTGGAACTACCATATGATGTAGCAATCCTACTTCTAGATATAGATCTGAAAGAATTGAAAGCAGGATGTCAAAGAGATATTTGCATACCCATGTTCATTGCAGCATTATTCACAGTAGCCAAGAGGTTGGAACAAAATAAATGTCCATCAGTGGATGAATAGATAAACAATATGTGGTTTATAAATGCAGTGGAATACAATGTAGCCTTAAAAAGGAGGACATCCTGCTATAGCATGGATGAACCTGGAGGACATTGTGCTAAGTGAAATAAGCCGATTACCAAAGGACAAATGTTATATGATTTCGCTTATACGAGGTATCTGAAACAGATTCACACATACAGAAAGCAGAATGGTGGTGACCAGGGGCTGAGGTGAGGGGAAGGGGAGTTCTTGTTTGCTGGGTATAGCATTTCAGTTCTGCCAGATGAAAAGGTTCTGGAGGTCTATTTCACAACAATGTAGATATACTTAACACTACTGAACTGTACACTTAATAATAGTGAAGATGGGAGGTTTTAGGATTTTTTTTACCACAATAAAAAAGAATACACATCATCCTTGCGTTCATGGACCTTATTATTTAAAGGGGAAGATAGTCATTAGATAAAACTACAAATGAATAATTACCACTAGAAAGAAAACGAACAGGAAGAGTAATCAGGTGAGGCTAGAGATCACCTCGATGTGATCCAGTAAGGCCTCTGTGATTCTGGCGCAAATTAGGGATCAGTAGGCTCTTCAGAGAAAGCCATGCTCCTCATTCCCTTGTCCAAATGTAGAATAGTCCTGGAAATGAGTCTCTGCCAACCCAACTGCAGCCCCCTGCCTTGGGCATGGCAGGTGACATATGGTGGTGGTAGCAAGAGTCTCCCACCAGCAAACACAGGCCAACTCCTCTTCCTCCCTAAAGCACAGAGTGGGCTGAGGGGGACAGTTGCCTGAGCCTATCCTGAAACATTCTTTTTTTGTGTGGTATTGTGGTAAGCCTTTTGTATTTGACTTTTTTTTAGTCTTCATAAGCAGGAATACTGCCTATTTTAGGCCTAAGTGTCTCAAAGCATCTTTAGTATCTCATTTACAGTTACTATGCAGAGAGTAGGAGCTCCACACACACACTTACCTCATAAATGCTCCTCTCCAGCCATCTCCAACTAATCCTTGGAGGTGGGTGTTTTAGTGGATATTCTCAAACTCCCTGAAAAGACTTGTCCTTTTTCCTGGAGGTAAGAGGGTTACCTTTGATGCTTTTTTACCAAATGATAGTAAAACCATTGGTGAAACGTCTCTCCTTCTGTATCTTTGATGATCTCAACCTCTGCTCAATTGCTCAATTCCCTCCTCTGCCCAGGGCCATGCTGTCACCATGACCCAGGCCTCTGGGTAGGTACCTGCCTTCCTTGGTTCCAGAAAGTTAAGAATGGCAGGGGACAGGAGAAGCAGGCCCCCTTCCCTCGTCCTTTCCTGCCACCTAGCTGGTAAGTCTCCACCCAGGAACTGGAACCAACTCTGATCGTCATAAACTTTTTGAGGCCTCAGAGAATGCTGCTGGGTCTACAATGAGCAAGAACAATGGCATTTTCACACCAGAAGTGATGCAGTACTAGAGCTACAAGCAAACTTGCTAATTTTAGTGCAGCTCTCTCATGTTACAGAGAAAGAAGTTAAGACCTGGGGGCGCCTGGGTGGCTCAGTTGGTTAAGCGACTGCCTTCGGCTCAGGTCATGATCCTGGAGTCCCTAGATCGAGTCCCGCATCGGGCTCC